ATTCAGAGCAACACAGTACATTTCTAGAACAGCTTTCCTAGCGCAAGGACAGTCATCTGTCTACACGCTCTCGCTCAGGGCCAGAGTCCTGAATGAAGTGCCTTTTCACGAATCACCGGTTGCATACACTACTGTAGATATTACTTTTCTCAGGCAAGAGCAAACAAAGCGCTGCCTGCTCACAGAATCAGCCGTTACTGTATTCAGCACCGGTACAAACTATAAACCAGAGTGTATTAGCTTGTCAGATCTGTATAGGCCTTATAGCTCATCCAGAGCGAACAGAATTATAACCAGGCTCATGACAGTAGAAAATATCTCTGAAGCAACCTGACATTCATACTGTATATCATCTAGAAAGCCCCTACAGAAGCTGTGTGGTGAAGAATGACGCTCTTTTGTTTTCTTTGTTTGTAGTTGTTTGAGAAACTGATGGGCTGAATTAGTTGCAAAACAGTGTGAATTGCAGAAGCGCTTTTTCACTCGAAAATATTTTTTAAGGGAGTCTAAAATCAGGACAATCATTTATGAAAAATCAGTGAATGCACCATCTGCTTCGTCTCTATTTCTATGTCTCATCAGCCTGACTGACAGGGTGTGTTTAACAGCTGACTGGAGGGAAGGATTATCAATGAATAATGAGATAAGTTCTAGTCGGCTTCTCAAAGCATCAAGAACCAAGTGGCTTTGGAAGACTTGAAATATTGCACACAGTGTCACTTTTATGACACTTTTGTGGTGCTTTTTGTCTTTTATGAAGCTTGAAAGTCAACATTTCTCCATTTGTGTTCCACATAAGAAATAAAGTTTGCAATGACATGAGCGCAAGTAATGACAGAAGTCTTTAAAGCATTTCTTTATTCTTGTTTAAGCAATGATTTATTTAATTAATTATTAATTTGTTTATTTATTTATTCATACATTTTATTTTCTAAATCCTCCACTAAAAGCAAGATTTATGGTGCTTGCAAAATAATAATAATAATAATAAACTAACTAATTAACTTAATTTTTTAAAATTGTATTTTATGTATTTCTTTATTTTTGTTTATTTATTGAGTCAATTATTTATTTATTCATTCATTCATACATTTTATTTTATTATCTTATTTTATTTGACTTAATTTTGTTTTATTTTATTTTTAAATCCTCTACTAAAAGCAAGATTTACGTTGCTTGCCAATAATAATAATAATTGCCAAATGATATACCCATTAATTAATTAATTCATCCATACATGTTATTTTCTATTATATTCATATTACTTATTTTATTATTATTATTATTATTTTTATCCTCTACTAAATGTAAGATTATATGTTGCATGCATTTAAAAAAATAAAAGTAAATACTGGTCAAATTAACTGTATCAATGGAAAAAAGTCACTTTTTTCCCCACATGGTGTAGCCTAATAGCCCAACCTTGACCTCTTCGATGTCCCAAATTAGTTATTTTTCCATACTCCAACCACCTATGGTATATAATTCCCACTTTTCATGATCCAATTAATTTGAGATGGACTAATGCAGTCTCTGCACTGTAAAAAAAAATTCCAAAAATTTACGGTAAGAAACCGGCAGCTGTGGTTGCCGGAATTTTACCGTAAAAAAATACGGTAGCAACGTTTTAGGTTTTACAGTTTTAACTTAAATTTACAGTTAAATACCATAATTTCATTAACTGATATAATGTTAATATAATATACCAACCTGAAGTACTGAAATCTGTTTTGTACTTTTGTAATACACTGATAACCACCAAATGCAGGAGGTGATGAGAAAGTCACATGATGAACCAAAGCCCATCACAAGCAGCTTATAAATAATAACATATATAGAAGGTGCACAGTGTCATTCCCACAAACACTAAACACCATCATGATAACACACATGAAACTGAAATAATGCAATAAACATTCATTTAACAACATTAGGTGTAACATACAATCCTAATATACAAAACGGATAAGAAAAAAACTAAGAAACATAGTTATTTCAACAAAAAAACATCAAATTTGAAATGTAACGCAGGGCATTCTGGGAATGTCAATTTACGGTTATTCACTGTAAATTATACGATCTTTTTCACTTCCAAAAACGGTATACTACCGTAAAATTTATGTCCAATACATGTAATGTCCAGTACAGTTTTTCACCGTATATAGTAGGGGAATTTACCGTTAACCATTTAACAGGTTTTTACAGTAGCATTTTTACAGTCTTTTACCGTTAAATTCACTGTCATTTTTTACAGTGTGGCTCCATTTTTCTCTCATTGAATATCCTACTTCATGTTGGTCTGTCTCTCTATCTGTCTGAGATATGACATCTGTTCAAACTTCAAAATCCATCCATCATTCCTCCATTTTCCGTTCTCAACACACTCTGCTGTTCTTGGGGGGAAATGCAGTGAATTCCAAACACGAGGTCTCACAATAAAACGCCGTGGAGCCTCTACATATTAAATTCTCTAAATGTTTCCGGGTGCTTTTAAAGGATCTCATCTGGCAGAATCACTTCAGAACCCAGACGCACATGAAAGAGAGCGCCGTATCTCACAGAACATCGCCGTTTCAACACTTCACAGCTGCTTCCTTTGGCTTGCAGATGTTTGTGAGGCGACACACGTAGCAAAAGAAAGACGAACCTCATTCAGAATTTCCCATTTCCCCCCTTTATTCTATCCATTGTGATTTCCATTCTCTTTCCCCAGCGTCAGGAGAATGGTGTTTGAGTGCAGGACACTGGACTTGAATAGACTGCCATTTCTCCACTGATGTTTATCGTGTCTTTCTCCTTCATGCTTTGAGCAGATAAAAAGGCTTATGTGGGTCATGTTGCATTAATCGAGCTCGCTGTCCTCTCAAATACTCTCTAAATTAAGCAACAGGCATAAAATATTCACATTTGCTCATGGTTCATCACTCAATGACACATTTAAGCGAAAAACAGCCCAAATGTATCACATCAACATCGAAGCCAAATGAAACAATTCATTGTTATCTGACCCCACGGAGACAATCATTCTTTCTTTGTGCATTATTATGTCTTTTTTTGTGAAAAATTTCATATTTAAAGTTTGAACATTATTTAGGAGCTCTAGACGCATTCGTTTCAGAGCTCGTATCTCAAATCTGAATTTCCACATCACCTCATGTTGCTTTGGACCTCTAAATCTTTCAGTGCTGATCTATTATGTTTCAGAGGTATCTGCGAGGCTCTAAGCTCTGATACCTAGAACTGCTAAACACACACAGAACTCCGTATTGATCCATTTTGTGAGACTTCTCGGGTTTGAATGAGGCTCTGGATCTCGGCAAACTCTCTTTCACTCTGAATTTGATCTAGAACAGAGCAGCTAAAGAAAAAAGAGTTGTAGTTTCGGAAAAGCACAAAGGATGCTTTTGCTGGCAGGTACAGAGAGGTTAACATTTTCCTGTCTGGTTTTTCCTTGTTTTTCTGTTAAATAAAAATCAGGTTTGGAACACATTTCACTAAATGTGTCCTAAGCAGCTGCCACAAGTTTCCAGCAATAAGTAATTTGACTGTCCACATTGAAAATGTGACACAACAACAAAATCACAGTGAATCAGATCATATTCGATGTTCAGATGTAATTCTAAGCAGTTTATAATTATGTATTTGATTAAAAAATATATATATTTAATGGTTATTTATTGCTTTATATAACTATATTTAAAATATGTTTTATATACAACACATATATTATATATAAACATGTTTAAAATTAATAAAAAATAATAATTAATAAAAATTGTTTCGTAAAAATTGTTTTAAAACATCAAATAAATACTTCTGTTTATAATGTTTTTTTATTTCAAAGTATTCATCAAATAATTATTAATAAAAAAACACTTTGTCAAAGGATTTTGGAAAACGTTCAAGGTTTTCACAAAAATATTAATCTGCACAGTTATTTTCGACATTGATAATAGTAAGAAATGTTTCGTGAGCAGCAAATAAGAAGGATTTCTAAAGGATCATGTGACACTGAAGACGCTGAAATGCTGAAAATTCAGCTTTGCATCACAGAAATAAATTACATTCTAAAATATTTTCAAATAGAAAAATAGCTATTTTAAATCATAATAATATTTCACAATTTTAGAGTTTTACTGTATTTTGATAAAATGTTTTACTGTATTTTTGATCAAAACGTGTGTACAGACAATTAAATATCCAGGTTTTAATATGTAATGCAATTTTATTATTTTTATTTCATTTTATTGTTATGAACCCAAACTAACAGAAAATATCATAATATATGAATCTTAGGTGTTATATAATATACAGAATATGTATTAATATATACACCAAGGTAGATTTTCTAACACATTTCTAGCAGTACGTACAGTTATACAGTCCAGCCCTGAAGTGCATCTTCTCCAGCATGCTGTAAATCTGGGACCAGGGGGCCAAAATGTACATGTCTTTGTTCATAACTCTTATAATCCATGTCTTAATGAAAAGCTGGGGATTTGCGATGGATGAGGCGAGTGGAGCAGGTTGAGGGTTTGATCTGCTCTCCTGGGAGAAGCGTGTAGTGCGCGCCGGCCAGTGTTTGGTGTTGTAATTCATATTCTCTCAACACAGAAGACACATCCTGGAGGCAGTGAACATGTGCACCTCAAGCCTCATGTTTAATTAACCAAAGCTCACCACAGATTCTTCCTAAGAGACGGTTCTGTAGGGACCGGCAGGCAGGAGCGAGCGCTATCTGTCTTTCAGCCGTTTTTTCCCTCCTTATGTTGACTCTACGCTCACTTCCCTTTCTGCTCAGCAGGATTCAATTTTCCGATCCACTTGAGCGGGATTCTCGTGCATTACAGATCCGACTAGCTCACATGTGCATGCGCTCATTAACAACAAGCTGTGTCTTTTTTGTCTCTCTCTCTTTCTCTTTTGGACAATTGTTCCACTGGTTTAACTGCAATCCGTCTCTCTCTTTCTTCTTTTCTTTTTCCTCTCTTTTGCCCTAGTTCTGCCGCCTCTTGTCTATCATTCCCTCTTTCCTGTTTTCACAGTTCTTTCTGAGATGAATCCTCCTCAGCTCTCTGCGGTGTTGGTGCTCATACTGGCCCAGCTGTGCGTGTCTTCTCTCGGTTGTCCTTCTGGGTGCCGCTGCTATAGTTTGACCGTCGAATGTGGATCCATTGGGCTCAAAGAGATCCCGCAAGGCATCACACATGGGACACAGGTCAGTCGCACAAATTCATGTGGATGTTTGTAGGTGGGTCATTCTCAAAATACTGTATTGGGGACAAACATGTCCCTTGACATGTCACAAAACTCCATCTAGACTCTATAAGGTTCTATATTAGCATATTTGGTTCCATGAAGAACCTTCAACATTCATGGAATCTTTTAATTCCAAAAAAAAAAAGTTCTTTCGATTCTTAAAATGTTCTTCATACTAAGAAAAATTTGAAACTGAAATGAAAACTTTCACTGAAAGTTCTTTGGGAAGCAAACACGGTTCTTCTATGGCATCGTTGTGAAAACCTCTTTTGAAAACTTTTATTTTAAGAGTGAAAGGCATCATTTTATAATCTAACCATTTATTATATTTTGCAACGCACATTCATTAAAAAAAACACTTTTGAATTATTTTATTCAAAAAAGCTATTAATAATATTAAGAATAATAATTTTTAATAAACATTAACATAATAAGAATACATTTTTGAATATTGTTTTGTCGTTTATTGTTGTTATAAATGTTAAAAACAATATGGAAAAAAATACTCTAATGTCACAGAATGTCAAAAATAGTTCCTACAGTGATTTATTAATTGTTTATTAATGAATTGATTAATTTAAAAAAATAATAATATTCAAATCATAAGAATATTAAAAATGATGTGTGTGTTTTTGGTATTTATTGTTGTTATAAATGTTAAAAACAATCTGGAAAAACACTCCAGCATCATAGAATGTCAAATATACTTCCAGTGTCATAAAATACTAATAGTTTAATGTAATAGTTCCAACGTTTCTATGACATTTACAATGATTTATTCATTTTTTCTAATCATTTTGAAATATTTTAATTGAAATGACTATGAATTTTTTAATAATTCTTAAAATCACATGAATGATTCTGTTTTTGGTGTTTAGTTATTATAAATGTTAATAAAAACAATATGGAAAAACATCTTCAGCATCAGAGAACGACAAAAATACTTCCCATCTCATAGTAACGGCAGAATAGTCCCGTTTCTTAAAGTGATTTATTCTTTTTTCTAATAGCTTTAATAATCTTAACAGAAAGAAGTGATTATAAACAACCTTTTTTAATAAACATTAAAATAAAAAAAGAACTTAGTTTATGGTGCTTATTGGTGTTATCAATGTTCAAAACAACATGGAAAAAATACTTCCAACGTCAAAGATCAGAGTAAGAAGAGGCTGCTCAAAATGTGTGCTGCAAAAAGTAGATTTACATTTAATATACATTTTTGTCATGCAAATTAAAGATTTTGTTATCGTTTAGATAATTCTATTTTATTTAATTATAATTTATTTAATTTAATTTTTTTGCATATTTTTTGAGCAGCATGATCAGTCATAATGTTAACATGTTTAACAATACTTTACTTTTACTTTTATGTGAGAAAACGTAGCTGAATTCAAACTTCAACAGTTTGAGAATGATTTATCAGCAGTCATAAAGTTGACGTGAAATCAACATGAATTTTGGTCATATTGTGCATGATGATTAAACAGTGTTTCTTTATATCCAATCAGTTCTTTACAGACTTTTGAAAACAAAATGAAAACAAAAACATTACATTAAATCACACTAGGTCACATCTGAACTCTCCCACATATAAGAGAGGAACACTTGTACTACTTTCCAGCCTGTCACAATTTTTTATTCTGGTCATCCGGTCACCGTAAATGATAAAATACTGTCTCCTTCTGTTTCTATCTACACCTTGACCCACAATACAGTAAGCCTGATATTAAAACTATAGATCATAACTCCAGATAGTGCTGGGAATCATTCACTGCATCAGTGCCTCATGGCTGGAGTCACCCTGTGGACCCTGTTTGCATGTCTCTGGATCTGCTCCAGTCACATCACTAACATTACTGCAGCTCGGCTCACATAAATTGCTCAATTGACCCGCGTAACCTATGCTTCACAAGAAACTTGCTTCGGCTCGACCCGAGTTTGATCACAGACAATAGCTTTGACAGAAATCAATTCGAAAATGAATCAGTGTAATATGTTGCATCATTAATATAGTTAAATGAGTGATGACAGGCCTCTCTGTATTTTTTTTGCTCTTGTAAAAGCCCATTAATGCCCTTCTGATGCTGCTAATTGACTTGTTTGCGTGTTTAAGGCTCGAGGATAGTCGGCCCAGAATCGTGTAACACCCCCAGAACTTTGTATTGATTCATTTCATGTTAAAGAAAAGCTTCTTTCACTCTGAATTCACCTGAAGAGGAAGACCAAAAGAAAGAAACATTGTATTTTGTTTCAGAACAGCCTTAAAGAGTGGAGTTTTTGCTGTCGTTGATTAGGACAGAAACTCAAGTCGACATGAATGAGACAGATGTTGCTTTTATTGCTTGGCATGTCAAAATTAGATTATTATTAGACTACAAAAATAAAACATAATAACAATTCCACTATTAATATAATTTATTATTAATGATATTAATAATGACAACAGCATTAACAATAATAATAAAAATTGTTGTTATTATTATTACTATTCTGTTTTACTATTATTAATATAATATTTAGGCAAGGCAAGGCAAGTTTATTTATATAGCACATTTCACACACAATGGTAATTCAAAGTGCTTTACATAAAAGAAAATAAAATAATAATAAAAAATAATCACAACAATAAAACAAGGAATTTAAAAACTTCGAAAATGATTTAAAAATTGATTTGAGAGTTTTAAAATGAATTTAAAACAGTTAAGAATAGAAAATGATTATACATAAAATATAGTGCAATCAGTTTGGACATCGCACAGTGCTCATTCAATAAATGCACAGCTAAACAGATGAGTTTATTTTTGTTAATGCATCTCTTTCTGACAGAGACAGATCTAGATTAAGTGGTAACAGAGATCAATATATCAAAGAAAATACAGAAGTGATCAGATAGTGCTACGTCCTTAATAACAATGGATGAAATGTTTAGACCTCTACTGATGAGTAAATCTAGAGTATGTCCACGATTGTGTGTGGGTTCATGCACATGCTGAATCAGGTCAAAAGTGTTTAAAACGGTTATAATTTCTTTTGTAGTTTTGCTTTCTGCATTATCTATGTGAATATTAAAATCCCCTGCACTAGCAAAACAGTCAAACTCTGAGGAAATCATTGATAGCATTTCTGTGAACTCTTCAACGAAGGCTGGAGAGTATTTTGGAGGCCTGTAAATAATGATAAACAGAATGCGTGGAGCACCTTTCAACACAATCCCTAGATATTCAAAAGACAAGTACTGACCAAATGACACTTGCTTGCATTGATAGACATCTTTAAATAGAGCAGCTACACCTCCACCTCTCCTAACAGTCCTGCAAACACTCATGAAAGTGAAGTTAGGAGGGGCTGTTTCATTGAGGACCGTTGCACTGCAGCTGTCTTCTAGCCATGTTTCATTTAGAAACATAAAATCCAGGTTGTTTGTGGTTATTAAGTCATTGATTAGAAATGATTTATTTTTTAGTGAGCGAATGTTTAAAAATGCTAACTTGATGGCATTGCATTTTGTCTCAACAGCAATATTAGTTTGATGCATAACAGGCCGCAGATTAGATAAGTCAGCCGTACGGCTTGAGAAGGCCTTAGACTTTCTATCACGTGATAAAACAGAAATAGAGAAAACTACAGGCACACTGGGTTCCTGCTTGTTCTGTAAACATTTGTGAATGTTGCTGCTATTATAGCGGGACCCGACACATATCACTGAAAGCTGTTAATGAATAATTTAATAATAATTGCATTGTTAATATAATTTAAATGATCATTAGACTACAAATATAAAACATAATAATTATTATAATAACAACAACAACAACTATTTAAATGCTTTATCAATAAAGTATAATAATAATAATTATTATTATTATTAATTACAACAACTTTAACAATAATAATATGTACAACAATATTGCACTATTAATATAATAATAATAAATTCATTCTTGATATAATCATGCATTATTTTTAATAATAGTAACAAGTATAATAATTATAACAGCAATAATAATAATTCCATTATTAATGTAATTTAAATTATCATTAGACTACAACTATAGAACATAATAATAATTTAATTTCATTATCAATATAATAATTTATTATTATTATTATTATTATTATTATTGTTATGTTCCTCACAGAACTGAATAATCCATAAACTAGCTATTTTAAAGCTGAATATTGGTAAGAAATACTGGTCAAACTGATTATCTGCTTCAAATTCTTTTATGGGGGTTTATAAAGTTAACCACATTACTCACTTTCTCTTTTCTTTTAAAAGTCTTAGTGTACTAATGTTTTTCCCGTGGACTCTGCGTCCTGTCCAGACCATCTTTCTACAGGACAATGCCATTGGACAGATCCGTCAGCGGGATATATCAGACCTCGGCCAGCTGCACTACCTCTACCTGCAGAATAACAGCATCTCGATGCTGGAGGCCGGCGCGTTCAGAAACCTGGGCCTGCTTCTGGAGCTCGCGCTTAACGGAAACCGCATCCACCTGATCACAGCTGATGTGTTCCGCGGCCTGGACCACCTGCGCATCCTCTACCTCGCAGGAAACCAGATCACCAGACTGGAGGACTACACCTTCCGCGGACTGCAGGTAGAAGCACTGACTGCGCCATTCTACCTTTCAAAATATACATTTCCAAATGTTTTAACATTCCCATATAGGTTATGGGAGCATTGATGGGAGTTTGGGATCAGATTTCCCAAAGCGATTATCGGCCGATAGTGATAGGTAGCCGATCAATCGGAGCACTCCTAGTCCTAGGTATTAGGAATAATTTTAACTTTAAGTTTAGCTTAGCCTAAGTTTGTCGCATCGACTGAAACCAAACATTTCATCCAAATCTGCCATCTTGTAAAAACTTCCGCCACTGTTTACGCTTGTTTCACCGTTATGTCTGTTTCTGTGTATTTTGGCAAGTCTTCATATTTTAGCTTGCACGTCTAACCAATACCATGATACTGTTGATAACCATGATCATGCAGGTTATTTGTTCGTTTATTACTGTTTACTTGTCTTTATATAATATAATTTATTAAATTCAAAAGTCGAAAACAATAACTTTTTTCTTTTTTCCTTAAATTGTTAATAATAATAATTTACCGAAAATATTATGTTCTTTGTGTTGTTTTAATTTTGATAATCCATTGTATATTAAAATGGTCCTAAAACTGGCTATTACCCAATTTTGGTCCCCCCCACCTGTCAGATCAGAAGTGCGCTCCTGTCTGTAACAGATTCTGATGTCTTTTTCTACACCGGGTAAACACCCTCTGACTCAGCCTGCTACAGTAGCCCCGCCCCAGACTCTCGCTATTGGTTGCGCGGAGGTATGCAAATACATAGGTTGACATTTTATTCGGACTGAATGCAATATATCACAACATTTTAAGAACTTAATTTAATATACCTTTTCACAGTTATTAACATCGTAAATCGTAAAAACAAATTTTATATTGTTTTTTAAATTATCATTTAAAACTGCGGGAGTGTTTCTAACACAACAGATGAGGGAGTGACAGCAAATTACATCTTTCTGACCAATGCAATCCAAAGTCATCAAAGATGTTTTATTTAGCTAGTCAACAATATAAAATTATATTTGTTGCAGTTTCCAAGTACCACTAAAGAAGGTCCACGGAGTTCAAACTAAATTAGAACATTTCATGCTAACATTGTGAGAACATTTTTCAAAATACTAAAACCACAATATTGTTTCAATTATTTTTAGAATGGTCTATACATTTGCACAACCTTTATATAATGTTACGCCAAAGTGTGCAGAGTAGAAGAGAAGTGGAAACCAAAGAAAAGCAGTACAAAAACTCATTAAAGTGCTAAATTAATAGGGGATTTTTCAGCAATATGCTAATTTGATGGAGACACAGAACTGAAAATAGATGACTCTGCATTATGCTAGATTGCTTTACAAAGTGTGTTTTTATGATAGCCACGTTCATGCTTGTTGATTGCAGCGGTTGCAGGAGCTGCATCTGCAGGAGAATTCGGTGGAGGTGTTGGGAGATCAAGCTCTGGTGGGTCTGTCCTCTCTGGCTCTTCTGGACCTGAGCAGGAACAACCTGAGAACCCTGAGTCCCGCTTCACTCAAACCACTCGTCAGCCTGCAAGTGCTTAGGGTCACAGGTAAGAGATTCACAATGCCACAAAAAAAAAAAAAGTAGTACTTTTATTCAGCAAAAATGCATTAAGCTGATCGAAAATGATAGTAAAGATAAAAATGTTTCTTGAGCAGCAAGTCAGCATATTAGAATGATTTCTGAAGGATCATGTGACACTAAAGACTGGAATAATAATGCTAAAAATTTATAAATAAATTACATTTTAAAATACATTCAAATAGAAAACGCTTATTTTAAATTGTAATAATATTTCAGAATATTGCTGTTTTTTTTTATAAATAATCTATAATATCTCATTTGTTTCTCTATGTACAGCAAATAGAGACTTTACCTTAAAGAGATTTTTCACCTAAAAATAAAAATTCAGTCATCATTTACACCCTCTCAAGTTGTTCCAAACCTGTATGACTTTCTTTCTTCTGCTAACAAAAAATATATGTTGAACTTCAGTAAAGTCTAATATTGCACATGATTGTTTTGAGTAAATGATGACTGAATTTTTATATTTACATGAACTGTCTCTTTAAGTTATCTGCTGCTTAGATGTTTCTCTTAAGTAAAGCACAGGTGAGATTGTCTAATGAATATTAATTAAGTAATGTTTCCATTGGTAGCTCTAACCAAGTTAAGTAAATTAATTAATATTCATGATCCTATCTTTCACTCTAATACAGTCCTGTAGTGTTGTATAAGTTGCATGTCCTGCAAACCTACCATAGTGACATTTAGTGGCATTTAGATGTCAGACCATCTTTACGTTTGCTCAAATATTTTTGCACAACAATTCTGTTTGGATAAATATGTAATAATGCTGTATTTTGAGAGCCTTATATTGAATTTGCTCTTACAGATAACCCGTGGCGCTGCGACTGCGCTCTGCACTGGCTGCGCGGCTGGATAAACGAAGAGGGTCAGAGGCTATTAAGCTCAGCCGAGCGCCGGATGCTGTGCGCCGAACCTCCGCGCCTCTCCCATCTCAGTCTGGTGGAGGTTCCCGCGAACAGCCTCGTTTGCATCCCGCCCATAGTGCAGCTGGAGCCCAGCCACCTGACGGTCCGTTTGGGGGAGAGTTTACGCGTGTCCTGCCAGGCATCCGGATACCCGCAGCCACAAGTTACCTGGAGGAAAGCGTCCCACGGAAAAGCCCAGCTGTCTCCCAGAGGTCTGGTGCAGGAGGTCGGGATGGACGGGGACACCGGTGGGAGGTTGGTAACAGCCAGGCCTGGTGGAAAAGGAGGGCCGGCGAGTCGTGGCCCGGTCCGAGGAGGAACCGATGACGGAGGCGACCGGGAAAGCTTCGATCCTGATACAGGAAGCGGGATGCTGTTTCTCAGCAACGTCACGGTGGCGCATGCCGGACGCTACGAATGCGAGGCCTGGAATCCCGGCGGAGTGGCTCGGGTGACTTTTCACCTGTCGGTAAACATGTCTTCGTCTTCGTCCCGCTCGGAAATCTGGCCTCGACTGCATTCCTCATCTTACTATCATCCTTCCTCGGTGGACGTGAGTCAAGAGCCGCTTTATGAGCTTGAAAGCATGGACTTCAGTGCGCTGGGAACCGCGACCCAGACGGCCATCGCTGTGGGAATTTCTCTTTTGGCGTTGACGGCGTTGTTGCTTCTCTGCATGATTTACAGTCGCCAACGGCAGAAAGAGGAAAGTGGATATGGTGCCAGCAAAGAGGAAAACATCCTTTACGTCAACGACTACTCCGACGGTCCCACCACGTTCGCTCAGCTTGAAGAGTACCGGGACGAATGCGGCCATGAGATGTACGTGTTAAACCGCGCCAAACCAGTGCTGCCTCCTCCACCGTCCTACAACCAGCAGGGGTCGACGCTAAAAGCCAGTGAGTGCATGCTGACCCCAGGCCGGGCCATGGGGATCGGACCCCGCAGGGCTCCTGCAGAAGGAGGTGAAGGACCTCCGCTTGATCCCGAAGGGTTGTTCATGAACCAAAGCTTGCTGTTTGACACGCAGATCGCTTATGAGATCCACTGCTGAACTGAACCACTGGATAGACTTAAAGGTTCTTGCCATTGGATGTTATCCTGCTGAATTTCCTTTTGTTCTCAGAGCACAAATGTATTTTTTTTGGTGAAAAGCATTGAAGGAATAGTAGACTTTAAAGCTGCAGTGTGTTGTTTCGGTGCCACCAAATGGATTTGCAAAAATGTTGTCCCGATTTGTACCCAAAGTCATGCCATTGGTTGAGTCAGTATTGCTACAAAAGAACTATATTTGATTCCCCAAAAGAGCATGTCAGTGAACAGTTTTATGAAATCAAAAAAAATTTTTTTGGTTTGAAGAAGATTCTAATAATCTAAAGAACCTTTTTTCACCATATAGAACATTTTGTGCAATAGAAAGATTCACTCTTTTTAAAAAAAAAAAAAAGGTTATTTTGTTGCATCTATGTTTCCATTAAGAACCTTTAAAATCATTCCACAAAAGACTCTTTATAGTGGAAAAAATTTCTTTAGATTATTAAAATGTTCTTCACACAAAGAAAAAAATTATTATTTTAAGAACTGTTCACTGAAAGTTCTCCGGGGAACCAAAAGTGGTTCTTCAATTGCATTGCAACAAAAACACCGTTGGGAACCTTTATTTTTTAAGCGTGTGTATTGTGAAGCTCAAACAGGCAGAAAAATTTAAAAAAAAAATGAATAAAAAAACTCTCTTTGGTGAAATCAGCCTATGAATGATTATATATAATAATCTCTGGGATTGCACACAGTAGCTTTTAGGGAATAGTTCATCCAAAAATTGTTACCATTTGCATTGTTTGCATGATTGTTATGTTTTATAGAATCACAAATTACTATTTTTTTAAAAGCACTATGCTGCATTTTAAGGTGTTATTTTAAAAAACACATTCCACTCACCATTCCGCATATTTAACTAGTTCTCATTTGTGTTCCACAGAGTTTGGAAAATGCTGTAATTTTTTTTTTGACGTGAATAATTAAAAAAACATGCCAAAACGCCTTTGACAGAAAAAAAATATTGCATTTTTCTACAGCGATAGAGATGCTAGGGAAAAGAGAGAAAAGATAGTTGTAAAGCACCACCACAAAAATGAAAAAGAGAGTTTCCAAGAATAGTCCAGTGAAATAATTTATAGGATGTAGGCTACCATTGAAAAGTTTGATGTCAGTGAAGACATTTATAATATTGCAATAGATTTCCATTTCAAATAAATGCTGTTCTTTTAAACTTTCTATATCAAAGAATCCTGAAAAAAATGTATCACGGTTTCACAAAAATATGAAGCAGCACAGCTGTTTTCAACATTGATAATATTAAGAAATATTTATTGAGCAGCAAATCAGCATATTAGAATGATTTCTGAAGGATCGTGTGACACTGAAGACTGGAGTAATTTTGCTGAAAATTGCTTTGCAATGTTTTGCACCACAGGAATAAATTACATTTCAAAATATGTTAAAATAGAAAAAAGTTATTTTAAATAACAGTAATTCACAATATTATGTTTTTTACTCTATTGTTTATAAAATGCATATAAAAAAAAACACCAAACTTTTAAAAAATAGTGTAGATGTGAGAGCTAAAAATGTTTCAACAACCCAGTATTCATCACTCACTATGACAGATTATGATCATTTATGTTGCAGCCTCTGTTTGGAACAACATCACAGTGAATAAATGACTGGATTTTCATTTTTTGCATGAACTATTCCTTCATTACAACAGTATGAAATGAGAGCGGTTATCTACTTTTAAAAGAAGAGGCTACCAAAAACTGATATTTTTTGTCTTGTTACTGTGAAATTAAGTGATCCAGTCTGAGGTCAGTCTGAGAGTTTGACCTCTTGAACGGGGACTGTGAGGACAGCAGCAAACAACATTTGTCGGGATGTCCCCGTGTCCAGTGTTGTGTGTCAGGCAGTGTGAATAACTTAATGTCCTTCTTGCAAATGCTGTCTACATATTTCAAGTATCCTTTCTTTCTGATGCATTCCTGTGTGTATTTATGTGTGATCGGCAGGCAGCAGAAGAAAATGAAACCTGCTGTAAACAAGAACCAAAAGCGGATGGAAGGTTTGTTCACTACAGCCTGGATACAAATGAAGTAGTCGCATCTATTTCCCGTCTGAGGCTCGTTTGCTCTCCTACTCTTGACCTCTGTTGGACTAACACTGTGAATAAACAAACAGGACTCCACATTCACAGCTATAGCTTTTGTAAGTTATTAGATATGCCAGTTTCTTTCATATAACAATATTGTTTTTGAGAGTGTGCGTATTTTTTCCTCTTGGCTTTCCTCTTCCCCATCATTACACAGACTATTGAGTAGTGATCACATCAGGGTAAACTGTATAAAAGCATTCATTTCAGCTTGGTTTATGCAGTGTTTACGCTTCTGCTCAACAATACAATAGTTTATGCATTTCTGTCAAATGTCTATCAAATTTCAACCTATTTTATCTGAATAAATTATGCCTTTATTTGAGATTTGTTAGTGTTTGTCAAAGCTGCTTTAGATTCACTATAAACATGGTTAATTTAGTATCACTGATATATTAGTTTTAATAATATTTTGAGTTAATAATATTAAAAATATTTTTGTTTTTATTTTTGCTTTCATTTTAATTTTAGTTCAAGTTTTCGTCATTTTGTTGATTTTGCCAATTTTAATTATTAGTTTTTAGTTATTACTCTGTATATTTTTCATTAATTGTAATTTAATTTTAAATGTGAGTTATTTTAGTACATCAACATTTGGTACATTTTTTTAACTATTTTAAAATGTCAGTTTTATTTTATTGCAAGGAACTACATTTGTTTTATGGTTTTAATTTTAGTTAACTAATAACCCTGAAATGTCATATTATCTCTCTCTCTATATGTATATATAGAGAGAGATGTATATATAATGCCATAAAATTACACTGAATGAGAGCCATATAGACATTATGTAATAACATTTATAATACTTTCACTTGCAAAGCCATTAAAATATTCTCTAATGTATACATTAAAGTACTCATACAGTTGTACAACTAAATCTTACACAATCAACAATAATAATGCTAAGGTATTTAGCAGCTCAAAAAAACAAAACAGAACAGTTCTGTCAGGACCACTATCGTCAAAGATGATTGACAATTAGCATACAGTTTGGATTGGCGGTATGGTTCCGTTCTGGGTAAGAACTCCCTGCGCATCCATGCAGCCTAGCAACGGATGAGAGCAGGGAGAGCAGCGATAACCCCCCCCCGCCCCCCAGGGTAAACAGAACAGAACCAACATGAATGTATTGCAGATATCGTTAAGTTCAATAATGTTATGTACACATTTTAGAATTAGTCTGATTCAAAGGAGAATCAGAAGACTGAATCCTGACTGACAGAGGAGGAGTTGGGGATGGAGGAGGGTAATTAGCTATTGAGCAATGCAAAAACTGTTGATAACACTGCGGGACCTTATATATGAATACTTAGATAGGTGTTGTATTCCCATAGGTTGATGTGGATCGGCTGAGAGTCAGCTGATGCGAGCTTGACTAACGTGACCTGCCAGAACTAACGTTACACTTGATTTATTTATGCAAAAACAAACATTGAGTAATTAGATTTCAAATAAGCATATTTTTTCAGGTTTCTCTGAAGTGGTCAAACTAATCGTTGACCTAAAAGCTGACCTGAACTCGTGTCAGTCTCTGATGTGGTAAAGATCTTTCTGTTTTGCTCACACTGACTAAGAATAAAAGTTGAAAAGCAGAACAAAATGTACGACTACAAACATATGTGCTAATTAAAAGGTGACACTTTTACAGATGTGGCAAACATCTTAATAGCAAAATAATAATCTGCTCAACCATGACCCGCATGCAACACTTTAAAATGTGTTCTGGAGGTTCCTCTTTTTCTGTCTCAAGTGACGTCCTTTGCGGCTTTAAAAGAAACTGTGTGATGTAAAACAGAGGAAGATGCTATTACTTCAGATTGTAATATTCATAATGTGAATGGCCTGAGATCATCTGTTATTAGTGAAGTTTCGGAGTGCTGTAGATCACTTCATCTCGTTCAGGAGGGCGGCTCTGAGAATGATTTAATAAAACACAAAAGACAGTGAGTGAGATGAATTTCAATAAGCCAGTGATTAAAAGCATCGAGACCACTACATTATGCATTTCCACAGATAAATTCATGAGATCACTGGCTCGAGTATAAATAGATTACATCATAGTCTTGCATAAGGAAATATATCGTTTTATGTGCATTAGTAGTATCAGCAATGTAATGCTTACAATGGAGACCTGGTTTGGTTCATGGTTTTTTGCTTTCTTAAAGACCACAGTGTCATACGCGACAGTTATTGGACCTTCTGCCTGTGAAAGAAGAGAGAAAACAAAACTTTAAAAGATTATTTAGATGGAATGAGTGTTAAGTAGCAGTGCACAGGCCCGTTAACACCAAGAACGATAACTATATTAACGTCCACACTCCACTTCAACGCACAATAACGTTCTGTTTATTATAAGCGTGTGCCTGCAGCTAAGGATTGCCAGGTGTGTGGGGGAAAATCCCCCCACAATTGATAATCAAAACTAGCCCAATCGTGTTTTCTAGGTTCCTATGTTTTCCCCTCTGTCGGGGTCCCTTTTCGTCAATACACTGTAAAAAAAATTTCGTTAAATTTACGGTAAAAAAACAGCAGCTGTGGTTGCCGGAATTTTACGTAAAAAATATGGTAGCAACGATTTAGGTAAGGTTTTGTAAACTTACATTTACAGTTAATTACCGTAATTTCATTAACTGATATAATGTTAATATACCAACCTATTGAAGTACTGAAATCTGTTTTGCACTTTTGTAATACACTGATAACCACCAAATGCAGGTGGTGATGAGAAAGTCACATGATGAACCAAAGCCCATCACAAGCAGCTTTTAAATAATAACATATATAGAAGGTGCACAGTGTCATTCACACAAACACTAAACACCATCATGGTAACACACATGAAACTGAAATAATGCAATAAACATTCATTTAACAACATTAGGTGTAACACACAACCCTAATATACAAAACTGATAAGAAAAAACTAAGAAGAAACATAGTTATTTCAACAAAAAAACATCAAATTTGAAATGTAACGCAGGGAATTCTGAGAATGTCAATTTACGGTTATTCACTGTAAATTATACGATCTTTTTCACTTCCAAAAACGGTATACTACCGTAAAATTAATGTCCAATACATGTAATGTCCAATACAGTTTTTCACTGTATATAGTAGGGGAATTTACCGTTAACCATTTAACAGGTTTTTACTGTAGCATTTTTACAGTCTTTTACCGTTAAATTCACTGTAATTTTTTACAGTGTATGGCTTTAATCCGCGGACTAAAAAACAACCGGCGCCAACAGATTAGCCCAATTCCAAAACCGTGTACTTGGCAACACTTGGCTGTCAATGTGTTTTTATCGTTTTGAGAGTGATTCCTCTGTGTCGTTATCTTTGTAGTTGTGGTGTGAACTTCTTTAGTCCGTGGTGAGAACGGGTCTTTAGTCTGACGATGTGGACATTTTAAGGCCTAAACACATACCACAGAACAGACGTCTGGTCCTCGTTTGGACAATGCGCCATCTTAAAAAACAGGAAGAATTGTATTATAAAACCACAAGAAACCTAAAAAAGTTCCTCTATTCAAAATAATATACAAATGAGGGGGGAAAAAAGAAGTGATATAAATGGAGAGTTTTCACCAATGTAATGCGACAGTGCAATAAATCTTGTGAAATTGGATTTGAGGCATTAGCAATTAAATAGTGAATTGAATGGAATATATACGTGTTAGAACTGACTGTGTTTTTGTCTAAGCCTCCAGATTACTAAAGCCAGCATCAGTAACACAAGTAGCGGCACAGCAGTATAGAGGAGAAAAATCCAGTCCATCTGGTCAGATGGGCCGTCAGGAGAGCAGTTGCTGTCCTCTTTATCATTGCTTGCTGTTTGGTTTCTGCATATGGAGCTGTTATTAAAAATGTAATAGATTAATGGATTTAAAACGTGAATATAAACATAATTATGAAACGTTGCTTTTTAATCAGGTAAATATTTTTACCTTTAACTAAATATGAGATTATGTTTACTGATACCCCTGGTGGTAATCTGACTGGATAAACTCAGGATTTACTTACGGAAATAGACCAGCATCAGTACTTTCAGCTGAGGTCAGAAGACAAAAAAGCAAAAGATAATTATTTTAAATAAATATTATAAATATAAAGAACACACTTCAAATATAAATAAATGCATTAAGTCTAATGTAAATGAAATGTTTTTTAAAGTATAACTGGAATTACACATACGTTTATATTCATTGTCGCTCTGAACAAGGAGTTGAACAGGAGCCTGCAGATCTCCTACAGAGCAGTAGTACCAGCCAGAATCAGTCAGTATCAGTCCAGTCGTCAGCACAGTGAAGGATCTTCTCCCATCATCACTGATCTGGACTGATGAATTCTGGGATGTGTTAGTCCTCCCCACAGTGTAACAGCTCTGATCTTTATATCTGCACCACTTTTTGAGTTCATTCTGATATCTAGGACTGTAGAGACACTGGACACTGATATCACCACCTTCATGTCCAGATACACTGCCGCTCACCACAGACACATCTGGTTCTGAACGCAGAGAACAAAATTATTCTATATTAAACAAAACAATGTAGTGGAAATTTGAAAAATAATGTTAATGCACCACAAACAATGTACTTACCTTTTTTAACAGTTACATACAAATATTTTCTGTCATCTGGTTCTGTATGAGTTCCGATCTCCACAGCACACCAATAATATCCTGAGTCTGAGGACGTCGGATTGTTGAGTTTCACAGTAAAAATACTGTGTACTGGATAATCAGTTATTGTCCATTTCCCTGTAGCATTTGCACGGGCTGTATTTTTGCAAGAATGCCACAAATACCCTTTACACCAGTATTTTGTGTTTAGTTTATACTGATTGTCATACAGACAGGGGATTGTAATGGTTCCTCCTTCTCTTACAGTTACATGATCCAATGTCTTCATGCTCAAAGTTCCTGCAACACACACACACACCTCGTCACCACCAAAATTCTCTTTTGGGTTCCAAAAAAAAAAAAAAAAGACAATTTTGTAAAAAAAAAAAAATGTCAAACTATTGCTGTAAAAAAATTATGATATCATGTCTTATATGTAGACATGATATAATCTGATCTTCGGTAAGACAAACAGATTGAAATACTAAAAAAATAAAGGTTTATGTATTAAGTATTGTCTGATTTATTTTAAATAATACTGCTGTTAAATTAATAATAATAACAACAATAATTGCAGGTAAAGGTATAGGACACATTTTTCCCATATGGCAAAAATCAGTGTTGCAATCGTGTGGTTACTGAAACATTTGTAAAAGCTGTTGAAAGGTCCATGCTATGCGAAATTGAATTTTCTTTGTATTAACGTCTTACACAGCCGGATATAAACTGAACTGCACTCTAAACTTTAAAGTTCTATTTACTGAACCTGTTGTGTTCTTAGAATGTAAAACTAACAAAATATACAAAGTAACAACAGCGGGAAAACAGGGTAGTTTATAAAAACAACCGTAAAACCATCTTTTGAGGGTAGAATGCATTTTCTGGGTCTTACCTGCGGTGTAAAGTAAAACACCAAAGAGAATCGGAGGACGAGCCATGTGACAGTCAGAATGAGTAAAAGACAGAACCTGAAATGAACATTTCACTTCCTGCCAGACAGAAATAAACAGTTCCTGTTACTGTATTCACTGATATAAAAACTGAAGTTGGTAGAGACCTCACAGACAAATTCTGTGCACACACACTGCTAGATCATATCCTTATTGCAGTAATGGTCTGACACAAGAGTATTTGTGTAAATGTGCACAAGAATATACAAGGTATCATAAATGTACAAAACAATGGCATGACTAATTAGCTTAGTGACCCTTCATTCATAATAAAAAGGGACATTTAATATATTTATATATAGTAGATCTGTTGGATGTGATTATGAACTAGACAGAACAGAACATATAGAAGTTTAGAGATGCATATTAAAATCATTCAGTGTGTCCAAATATGATGAAGTGGGTTAGTATTAACTGGCCATGTACAGTATATGTCATTATCTACAAGGTTTCGCAAAAGTCCAATGACAAAAATGGTTGTTTTCTCTAGCAGTAGTTTTCTATGGTGTTTTCAAACACCTAGATCAGAACTTTTCAGTTAATTAGGGTAATGTTTGTATTTATGGAGTACTGCAAGGCTCAGTATTAAGACCATTGCTTTTCACTTACGGTATATGCCTTTGGGAGAAATCAGTCAGGTTTAAAAGAGAATTAATATTCAGTAATATTATCATTTTAACTGCACTGAAACTATTGGAGACAACATTTGAACTAAAATGAGCTGGATAACTAACTTTGCAACATCAACACTTATTTAACTGAACTGAATCAATATTAAATTGACAAACTGAATAATGACACTTGTCTTTTTTAGAGTTGCTTACAGGGGAAATGAAATGAATTTAATTTGATGAATTTTGCAACACTGAACCAAATTGAGCTGAAAGACTGCTCCTTTTAACTAGTCAGGTTCATATAGAGGGCATGTATTTGTTCAGGCATTAAACACTCTTAAAAGGTAGCTTTTCATGCTGAAGGACATTGAAATTTGGGACCCATCAAAATTCCAGGCTTAAGAAGAGCCAAAAGACATACAACGCAAGAAATTGGGTCTTTGAACTCCCAAAAGAGAATGGAAAGAAATAAAAAATCAAAAGAACAAAGGGATCGCCGTGTTGGAGGTGTATTTGAGTAGCACACAGGGCTCGTGTGCAGACTCTGTATCAATCGCTGTTTGCGGTCCTGAACTTAAATTTCCCATGATAAGACCGTTTGTCACTCGCTAATAATGGCTATCAGCTACTCTGAAACTTCAATCTACAAAATGAGTGAGTTTCACGCCTTTAAATAGGCAACATGTTCTAAATAGAATTGGGACGTAATAAAGGCGCGCAAAGAATGCAAAAAAAAAAAGTCAGAATTCAGTCTATGGTTGATATAAATGATATATTTGCTGTATCGTGTACATCGGTATATCGGCAAGGCTGCTTAAAGTTTTTGACACATTAAAGCAATAAAGAAACATGCATAGCCGCAGGAAATTTATCTGGGGGACGCTGTGGGTGGGGCTTGATGTTGCCAGGCGGGGCCGTGGTATATTTGCCATCATGCTATGATCATTTTAAATGGCCAATAAGCTTTGTTAACTGTTATCGTTTCTGTGCCTGGCACTTAGTTTGCTCAGGTGCAATACGAGACCTATTCAGTCTTAAAGGGGTCATATGACACAATTTCAAATTTTCCTTTCTCTTTGGAGTGTTACAAGCTCTTGGTGCATAAAAAAGATCTGTAAAGTTGCAAAGACTAAAGTCTCAAATCCAAAGAGATATTCTTTAGAAAAGTTAAGAGTCAGCCACACCAACCTAAAACGGCTCGTTCTAACACGCCCCCACATATCTACGTCACTATTTGGGCGGCGTTATGCAACTCTTCCCACATCTTCACACAAAGAAAGAAGGCATAACTGTATATACACATACACATATACACATATACTGTATATATACACACACACACACACACACACACACACAAGTATTGCTGCTTCAAGTCAAGGTGCCTGATGCTACCCGGACTTGCTAGCCCCGCACGACACTAAAGCCTAAGTGGAGAGATGGATAGGCCACTCATGTCAGCCTGTTAGCTGACTGAAGACAGAAAACAGCAGGATGGCTGTGACACGAGTTGTCTTACTCCAAGACCTGGAACAAATAATAAACCAGCGTTATTTGTCTAAACACTTTATGTTTAGTGGAAATTTGACTTGTTTTGTTTATGGTGATTATATGATAAAACCAATAATCACAAAAAAAAAAAAAAAAAAACTAATCTTAGGCTCAGTACCTTAAACCAGTCATGGAGATGCATCTTCTCCCTGCTGTGGCTCATGCTCCAGACACGCGCAAATCATCTGGCAGCATTCTGTGCAAAAAGATGAGAGAGACGTTTCATTATTTGCTTATACTTTCTAAAATACTTTTGTGTGATTTAGAACACAAACTGTCCTCCTTTGTTCTTTGATGAAAATCTCACCTCGTGACAGGCCAGGTCTGGTCCAGTTGTTCTCACTGATCAAGTGCAGGTTGTGGTATGTGGGATAATATCCGCACACCATTTTAAACAGTAGAACCCCCAGTGACCACACCGTCATCGGTTTTGCGTGGTACCTGCCCTTCACATTGACCTCTGGTGGACAGTACGCTCTTGTGCCTGGAGGAAAGAAATGTTGTCTGTTATTTAATGCACTTTCACAACATGTTGACTATATATAGGATGCATTTCTGGGAGTTGATTAACTACAGTTCAAAAAGATACCACAAAAGAATTCGTAGGCAAATTTCTTCATGAGCGCAGCGCACTTGAAGTCAATCAATTTGACTTCCATAGTGTCCCGGTTCACCAGCAGGTTCTCCAGTTTGATGTCCCGATGGAAGACACCACGCTTGCTGCAAACGATAGCGGCATCAATGACCTGCTGCATGACCTGTCGTGCCGTCGCTTCATCGAGGCTTCCTCCGTGGAGCTTGACAAAGCTAGACAGGTCCATGCAAGGTGAGGGCAACTCCATGACCATGATGCAATGGTCTGTGTCATCCTGCCAGTCCAGCAGTTTAATGATTTGAGGAACGCTGGGGCCAGTTTTGGCCATGAGCATCAGACCAATTTCCATTGGGAGGCTTTCGGGATGACCAGGCTAAAAGAAAGAAAATTACACAGAGATGGCTTCCCAAATAATGACTTATAGCCCACAAATCAAAACAGCTTGCCTATAGTCAAAACTCATTTGTAGTCTGTGATTACAATGAATATATTATAAATACTCACCACTCTGATATATGGAATATTTGGTCCCTTCACTGAAAACTTCACAGCCACCTGATCAGCAAAACAAAATTTAACAATTAGCATGTGCACAGCGGCCATATCACTCCAGCCATGAATCCTGAAGAGAAAAGCAAAGTTTTGCAAGTTTAAAAAAACACCTCAAGTCCATCCTTGCACCCCTGGCACACAAAGCCATATCTTCCTTGACCCAGCTTGTCACCGATTTTATAACGCAAGCGAATGTCACCTATTAAAAGTAACAATTGTAGTTAGTATAAAATACAATTTTATTTGATTATTTCAGAATTTATAACAACATTTTCCAATTCTCATTGGTTTATTATTCTTACCCTCGTCCACCACATCCTGCTCCAACTGTTCCTCAGCAGCAGGGCCGACTTCAGAAGTTAGAACTATTATATGAATCAAATCCAAAAAATTAGTAAAATATTGCACACAAATGATAATGACACTTAATAAAATTATTCTCAGATGCTCTGATCAAAATTTTTTAAATTAACTTCATATATGATCTTTAACTGTTACTCTAATGACAGAATTGTTAGGTTTTTCTACCAAAAATTTTTCCTTCATCATAACATCTTTATCTGATAGTACCATCAGTAAATCTCCCACATGATCCTGCTTCACTCAGATAGTTCTTCTCCGCCTGAGCCAGATCGTATTTTGCAGCTCTGCGGCAAAACCAAGTGGAGAGCGGGCCACTTCCAGAAACTCTTCTTGCTCTTTTTCCCCTCTCTCTGTGGCTCCTTTCTCCCTCCATCAATCTCAGCAGCAGCAGCTGCCCCAACAGGCGTCTCGTCGAGCCGATGAGTCAGATGGTTCCCTTTCATGGGAACTTCGAACTGCGTCCTCTAGGGGTCGCTATGGGGAACGCCTCGTTGTGACCCGTGTCTGAAGCATACATTGAAAAAACACCAACTCGTTGGCCGGCGACAGCCATGACGTCACTACCGGTGCAACTATAGTATAAATAGGCACCGGGAGAACACATCATCCTCTTCTTCGTCTTCATTGACTGTTTTGTTTGAAGCATGCATTTCTGTGGTAAGAGCAATCTCTATTCATATCATTATGGCGAGCACTAGCAAAGCGTTTAGAGGATGTGTGCATCTGTGTTGTCGTTGTTTAACATCTGATGACACACACGATCTATGCGTTATTTTTTTGGGTGAAGAGCACGCACTCGATGTCTCTGAGGGGGCAATTGGCGTGCACTGCAAGCGTTTTTCCAATGAAAAAGCTCCGCTCTGGTTTGTCTCTCTTTTCGAGGAAAGAGGGGCAGCCATCTGCTTCCCGCGGTTCAGGACCCTCCGCTGCTGAGGCACGGAGGAGAATGAGCTCGTGGGGATCACAGGTGGATCTGATGAGTTTTGAAGAGAGGTTTTCCCTCTCACGATCGTCGGCTGTGGACGAGAGTGAGCCGCTGGAGGATGATATTATTTCATTAATATTGTCTGATCCAGGGGCCAGTGCTCTGCTGGGTTCGGCCCAGCAAAAGCAGGAAATGTCTGAGGAGGGCAAAGAAGCTGAGGCTGAGCCTTCCCAATCCTCCTGCCCTGCGTGTGATGAGCTTTTGAAAGTTATGGCTCGCGCCACGGCAAGGCTTTACTTGCCGTGAAGTGGGCGAAGAAAGTGATGTTGCGAGGTCATCTCGATGAACATAATTTTTCTGGTCATAACCCTCCAGCTTAGGTGAGCCTTCCTTTCTTCCTGTTTTCCATACAGAGATTGAGAAGGAATGGAAGAGGCCGTTTTTTCCTCACACATCCATCGATTCCAGCATACGAGTTATGCCAACATCGAGGCGATGCGCAAAAGCAGTTATGAGAAGATGCCCCTATAGAGAGACGCTGGCTATGGGTGAGATGTCCTCTTTTAAGACTCCCTCCTTGACATCTCGCTCTAATGCCAGGGCATACGCAGCAGCAGCAGGTCGGGGCTGTCGCTTCATTGCAGACGATGGTGATGCTCCAAACATATCAGGCTGACCTGCTGAAAGACCTGGATAAAGGCGAGGGCCTTTCTCCTAATGAGGTAGCTGAGGGCAGGCTTTCTCCTCGATGCACCGGTTTCGCCTTCCGTATTTTTTGGTACCTCCGTTGAGACGGTGGTCGAGAAGCTCAGGGAGGCAAAGGCGCGCTCAGCAGCCTTTACGAAGGTCCAGGTCTGAGCCCAAACAACCGAGGGGTCCTGGCACATCTCGGTTTGAGGATCAGAGATGGGCACAGAAGGCTAGTGTCGCGGCTCGCTCTCCTCCCCCCTCGCCCCCAGGTAGGGGTAGGAAGGATCGCGGGTCAAAGGAAGGTAGGTAAAAGACCTAAGGGATGTGATCCAGACAGGGCGTCAACGCTTTTGTCCGGATCAGAGTGATACCTCAGTATCTACTCATTTCCTTCGGGGGTCTTACATCTGCCCTTATCTTCCCCTGTAACCACCATCTCTCCACCTGACCGAGGTTAGGTGGGAATTTCCTGCATTACAGTCTGCTATGCTGGACCTATGATGTTTGGTTGATTCTATGGCTTCATAGTGAACACCTTACTGACAGTCTGGACCATGGTCTGTGAGTATGATCCATTTGTAAATATATATATATACTGTATATATATATATATATATGTATATATATATATATATATAT